ATCCCACAATCAAGTCAAAAGTTCCCAAAATAGGTAACAAATTCAAAGTTATTTCATCCATCCTCATCCTATATTTTCCACAAGGTAATTATTTCATAACCTTCAAAACATTCCATATAAATTGAGTTAATTGGCTAATTAATGGATTTATTCCTAATTAATCCATTAATTACCAATTAAATCACCCTATTTCACACAAAAATACCCCAAAGGGCTGGCCACCTTTTCTTAAGAGTGGGACCGGCCATGCACTACATATTCAACCTCATTTCTATAATTTCATAACGCCATAACTATGTTAGATATAATACTTTTTTTAGATAAAAAACCCATGGTAAAATATGTTGAGACTATGAATCACATATCGAGAAAGCTCTCTCGAACTTCACTGAATTTAAATTGTCCACACGTGCGCCCCCATTCGGTTTATGGTGAAATCTCAATTTTATTTACGGTATCAGAGCCAGTTATCCTAGGTGTGAAGTCTAAACATGTGTTCTACATCACATATTTGACTTGAAACATCACCATATGTGAGGATGTATTTAGAATGAATTTCATATTAACAAAATATACATGACAAAATATGGATTTTCTTATTAAATTTTCCCTTTTCTCTTTTAAGCTGTTGATAGGCATAAATTCCGCAGTAGTTGAGGACAACTAAGCTCTTTTTTCTTTCATTATTTTGCCATGACTTTTCTTTCTTTGTTGAGCTTTTGATGGAAAAAAATATATAAAGCTCGAGATACCAAAAGGCCAATGACTCGGAGAGGGCCATATATAGCCATTCCTTTGTAGCTCCTTAAACTTTAATTAGGTGTGTATATATATATAGGTAGCTCTTTAAACTTTAATTAGGTCTGTATATATATATATATGTATAGGTAGCTCTTTAAACTTTAATTATATATATATATATATGTAAAACATGATCAACAAAGAAAGAAGAAAAATGATTGTTCATCATTAACTTAGAATACGTTTTCAACTTTTCTGAATGGTTTCAAGATATAGATAGCACGAAGGTTCCCTGCTGTTCAGCGAGCTTTGTATATGTCACCATAAGCATCTTTCTTTTGCACAAAGTAAGAATCATGGTTGCAAACAGTAATGATTATTTTGTTGAACAAAATGTCATTGCATTCTAAAACGACATCTAATTACGCATCCAGGAATGCACTGTTACAGTCAAAATAATTGTCCAAGGGATCATTACTTCATCGTTGCGTGCTTCTATCAATGTTTGCGGAACGCCTGTGCCTGGAGATGGAAGAGGAAGAGGATGAGGAGCTTAGAAGGAGAGATGCCGGGAATGTGAGGCTCTTTAGCTTCTTGCTTCGTCATCTCTCCTTCTACACTCCTCATCCTCATCCTCTTCCATCTCATTTTCTTCTTCCTGGAGATTGAACATTTCTTCCGCTTACTTAAACAATTCTTTCTCTTGCTCATCGATTTTCCACAACATCCTTGAAGAAGACATTGTAAGAAGGAAGGAGAAACTATGAATAAGGATAGAGATTTGAAAGATTTTAATTTTGGTGTGTGATTTCTTAGGATAGATGGTGGGTTATATGGAGAGAAAAGAAACGATTAGGTTGTAGATAATGCCACGTGATACGCTGTGATTCGTTAAAAATCTTATCAAAATCTATCTTCAAAGATTCTAAATAGATTGTGACATGTGGTGCGATGAGATTGGTTAAAAATCTTATCGGAAATCTATCCTCAACGATTCTAAAAAGTTAATGACACGTGGCACAACAAAATTGGATAAAAATCTTATTGAAATCTATCACCAAAAATTGTACTTTCGGATAATGACATGTAACTTAACGAGACCGGTTAAAAACTATACATGAAATTACAAATAAAATTATTTTTTATTATTTTATAAAATAAAAAATACTAATATTTTATTGCTTATTGCCATAACTATTTTTCACGAGGCATTTGGTAAACATTTTTCTTATTACACCAGAAGAAATTGAATTAGAGAAATATTAAGGAAACTCTCTTGAAAGTGGAACGCTTTATGATTATTTGTTACGTCATTTTTTTTTTTGTACAACATTATATATATAAAATTGTCTCAAAAATTAACATTAAATTGTAAGGTGACATAGAATCCATAAAAGTCCTACTTTAAGAATCTCTTTAGCATTTCTGACATCTCATTATACGTTGAATTATTATACCTTGTCGACTAATGTTAATCATGTTAGTTAATCACATGATTACTTATAATTGAGCTCCAAACAGCCGCGTTTTCTCACTATTAATAATTCGTATAGCTCGAATCAACGCAAATTATGATCATGATGTGTTTCTTTTTTTAATATGTGAAAGCACAAAGATGTTGAAGCTTCATTTGAGTTGTTAACGACGCCAAGGACTGTCGGTGGAGAACCAAACATTTCAACCATAATTTGGCTAAATCGAGTAAAAATCAGTACACACAACAGATGACACACAAGGATCCAACAAGCTGCTTCAACCAGGCGCATAAGGGCCGGTCTTGGGAATTTAGTGCACTAAGCGAGCATTCTAAGTGGGACTTTAAAGTTCTCAGTATTCTGACTCTGTGTACATATGAAAAAATGTTTCGCTAAATACATATAAAAGTCTATTTCTACATTAATTATCATTAAAAATTAATATTAACAGAAGAAGGATATACAAACTTGACTTAAATATTATATATCTTGCGTTTTTAGACGCAAATGTACTAAATAAGTTTACATAATTTAATTTTTCAAACAATTCTTTTCAATTGACAAAATAGCTAACCCATCCAATCTGGAAATGGATGATGACAATGATACTCATGGGTTTTGTTTTATTTTTTATGGTTCCAATTTAACAATATTTCAAAAGCAAATCAAACAACAAAACTAGATATATTTAACAGAATTTGATATGCAAAACGGTAAAACTCTAAATTGAATTCAGAAACCCCTAAAAGATTGAATATCTAAATCCTAAAATATTTCATTGTAAATCCTTAGAGTAATCCATAAACCCATAAAAGATTGAATCTCTAAATCCCTAAAATCTTTTAAATATAAATTCCTAGAGGGAGCAAGGATTTGAAAATTCTAATTCCATTTACAAACAAGCTTACAAATTAAATTACAAGAAAAAGAAAAGGATGAAGAAAAGAAGCAATGACCTGACCTGGGGAAGGATACCGCCTCGCTGGGCTCGCCTACTAGTTGTTACCAAGTTGGACCAATTTGACCAAAAGAGGGGTCGCTAGACTCACTACCAAGTACGCCAAATTTTGAATCTTTTTCTATTGTTTTTGTACAAAGTTACTTATTACGTTTAGTAAATGAATGAATGGTTGAATTACAAAGATTGATTTTGTTTTAAGTGTAAAACTATAGTTATATGTGGATGAAAAAAAAAATAAGTAAAAAATAATTTGTGAAAATTAGGGAGCCCTAGAAGTGGGGACCTAAGGTCATCTCCAACTAAAGGGTCCAGAGGGCCAGAGGGTTGAAAATAGCTCGAAAACCGTCTCCAATCGAGGGCTAGGCCAAAGGGCTCGTAGGTCCCATGGGATAAAAAAAGGCCAAAAGGCTAACTGGCTGGCCCAACCTAGCCAGCCCCAGGCCAAGCCGGATTTTGAATGCAACGGTAACATGCTGACATCAGCTAGCCGTTATATTTGAATATATTTTTTTTTTGAGGAGCTGAAATTTTTTTTAAAATATTTAATTATAGGGCGAGAAGGGTGATTTATTCAATGTTGGGGTGTTCCTTTTATAGGCATGTTTGCTTGCTCATTAATCTCCCGCAGCCGATGTGGGACAAGTATAATGTGTGCCCCAATATAAGCTTTTGCTTGCTCAATTCTCTCCCACGACTAAGGTGGGACAAAAATAATGGGTACCCCAAATATAAGCTTCCTATTAGAGATGGTAAATGTGCATTTACACATGTAACTATCTCAAACTAAGTTGTACTAGTAATTGACACTTAAATTAAAAATTAATTTAACATACAACTGTTAACCGCCGCAAGTAGACATGAAAGTGGTGACAATTACTACGATGAAGTAAGTGTTTTCACAATTTGTTTTAAATATTTAATTATATTACATTAAATTTGTTGTAGTTGTAGTTTTTAAATTTAAATAATAAATCATGTTTGGCCCTCGATTGGAGATGGTTTTTTTTTTTCACAAGGCTATGTTTGGTCTATGGCTCTCTGGCCCTTCGGTTGGAGATGGTAAGAAATATGGCCCTGCACTATTCATTAAAATATTAGGCCATCTCCAACCGAGGGCTGGCCAGAGGACTCGTTTTAGCCATTTGGCCTGCCAGGATATTAATATTTTAATGAACAGTACAGGGCCATATTTGCCTTAATCTCCAACCGAGGGTCAAAGGGCCATATGGCTCATTTTAGCCCTGTCACAAAAAATGATCTCCAATTGAGGGCCATAGGGCCAAATATAATTTATTATTTAAAAACTACAACTTAAATTTAAATCCAACGGCTAAGTGATGTCAGCATGACTTCAGTTAGCCGTTGGTAGCTGATGTACCGTTGGATTTGAATTTTTTTTTCTATAAATAGGGTGGATATTGAGTTATCATTCACATAACTTTGAATTCAATCTATTTCAATTCAATCTCTTTCAATTCAAGTTTGCAAAGAATTCCAACTTTGGATCCTCTTTGGATTCCAACTGGGGGTCCTCATCCATTCCAAATTGGAAGAAAAATGGGCACAAATGAGACGAAAAGATAAGGAGTCTGATGAAAAGTCCAAGTAAGGCGCAACAAACAAAATAGAGCAGTAGCCTATGGTTGCGGCCATGGTGTGTCAGCCAACTGAGGAACAACCTTAATGGGGTGGCTCTATTGCTGGTCACTCTTACAAACCATGAAATAGAGCGATGACACATGCCAATATGATGAACAACTACTTCAACCCCAACTCGGTGTACACAGAAGAGGATTTTAGACGTCATTTTCAAATAAGACATCATGTTTTCAAGCGTTTACTTCATGATGTCCAGCAAGTCAACCTATACATTCGACAGAAGCAGGGACAGAGTAGGCCGCCCTGGTTTCTCACCTCATCAGAAGGTTACTCTTGCACTTCGAATGATGGCCTATGGCTCCCCAACTAATTCAATGGATGAAACCCATGGTATGTCTGAGTCTACATGCTTTGATACTCTTGAACAATTCTGTGACACAATTGTTCAGGTTTACAAAGACGAATACCTCCGCGAGCCAAATCAAGAAGATCTGAATCGGCTTCTTCGCAAAGCTGAAAATCGTGGGTTTCCGGGCATAATAGGGTCATTAGACTGCATACTTTGGGATTGGAAGAACTGTCCCACCAGATAGCAAAGAGGCTTAAGCGGAAGGTCGAGAAAGCCAACTGTTGTGTTAAAGGTGGTTGCCTCATATGACACATGGATCTGGCATGCTTTCTTTGGAGTCATTGGATCCCAAAATGACATTACAGTTCTTGGGCGTTCACCCTTTTTCAGTCACCTGACGAAGGTAAAGCACCTCAACTTGATTACTACATTAACGGCCGTCAATACAATCTGAGGTATTACTTGGCAAATGGCATCCACCCAAAGTGGGCGACACTTGTCCAAGCAATTCAAAACCCTAGGAATGATGTGGAAAAGTTGTTTACCTTACACCAAGAGGCATACCATAAAGATGTTGAGAGAGCTTTCGGTATTCTACAAGCACGATGGAAGATCATCAACGAATTGACAAGAGGCTGAAGTTGATATTGTTGAAAGAAGCATGGAGTAGGTGTTTAAGTTTTACGTTGTTAAATGCTTTAAAAAATGTTGTTTAAGTTTGATGTTGTTAAATGTTTTTTTTTATGTTGGTTAATGTTATTTAATGTTGTTTCATATTATTTAATGTTGTTTCATGTTACTTAATTTAATTTAATGTTGTATAATGGCTTAGAAAGTTATAGGAAAAAAATAGAATTTAAAAAAAAATGAAACAAATTTTGTAAAATAGAAGTTATAGGAAAAAAAATAGAATTTAAAAAAAAAAATATGAAACAAATTTTGTAAAATATAAGTTATAGGAAAAAAAAAATAGAATTTAAAAAAAAATATGAAACAAATCTTGTGAAATAGAAGTTGTAGGAAAAAAATAGAATTTGAAAAAAAATATGAAGCAAATTTTGTAAAATATAAGTTATAGGAAAACAATAGAATTTAAAAAAAATATGAAACAAATTTTGTGAAATAGAAGTTGTCGGAAAAAATAGAATTTAAAAAAAATATGAAACAAATTTTGCGAAATAGAAGTTATAGGAAAAAAAATAGAATAAAAAAAATATGAAACAAATTTTGTAAAATAGAAGCTATAGGAAATTTTTTGTAAATAAATAAAACTGTAAAAAAAAATTCAAAAATAATGGCTACCTGATGTCAGTTAGCTGTTATATTAAAAAAATTTCATGTTATTTGTGTCGGTTATAACCGACAGTTTTAAAAAAAAATTCTAGCCAGCTTGAGGCTGGCTGGCTACATATGGCCAGCCCTTTGACCCTTTCAGATTCTGTGGGGCCCACGAGCCCTCGGTTAGAGACAGTTTTAGGGTTATTTCGGCCCTCTTGACCCCATCTTCAACCAAAGGCTGTCCAGATGGCTCATTTTAGCTCTTTGGCCCTCCGAGAAATTAATATTTTAATGAACAATGTAGGGCCATATTTCTTACCATTTCCAACTGAGGGCCAAAGGGGCATAAGGCTCGTTTTAGTCCTGTCACATAAAACTGTCTCCAACCGAGGGCCAAAGGGTTATAAGGCCAAGCATAATTTATTATTTAAATTTAAAAACTACAACAACTTAAATTTAAAAGAAATGTGTTATTCCCACCCCAATGTCTTATCTTCCAACTACCTTTTTATGAATTTTTTAATTACAAATTTGTCCATTTGTAAAATGACTAATAAAGACCTTAGTTACCCCTTTTTGCATTACCTTTTTTTTATATAAAAAAGAAAAAAAAAACAGTTTAGGTGTGATAACGCTCACGCTATGTTTAGAAAATTTGTTTCCCTTAAATCCTAACTCATCATTCTCATCTCATTTCATTTAAAGAAAGAAAAAAGAATGAACTTAGAAGATGACGTTTCTATGGAAGAAGTAGATGATTATATTTCCATCGAAGAGGTAAAAGATAATTTTATTTGGGTCATCTTGATTTGTCGACATCATACAATTGAAGCATAGCTTTGTGACCTTTTATTTGAATTTGCATTAGATTAGTGTGCAATTTGTTTCACGTTTTCTAATGTGAAATATACTAACACTCAAATTAAAACCCTATGATTGTAGTATATGAAAGTAGGGATCGTTTTAAACTGGAGATTAGAAGGGATGCTAATCTACTCTAAACTGACTTAAAAACACAAAACTAAACTTAAAAACACTTAACTAGACTTATATGACTCAAAACAAACTAAAAAGACTCAAAACAACACAAACAATCAAATAGACTCAAACTAGACTCTAAAGGGTGATTTGGACGAATTCTAACTTAACTTTGACTCAAAACACTTAAAAACATAAATTTGGACAGATTCTAACTAAAAGACCAAGTAAATGGGGATTGGATTTTGGAAGAAATTAAGGTAAAAACAAACAGATTTAAAGACTTAAATAACTTTGGGATGAAATTAAGGAAAAATATGGGTGATAAGCTAGCTAGAGGGTCTTTCTCCACACATGACACACTTGCATACAAATTGATTTCTAGTTGCTTTTCCAACAAACCATGAACCTCAACACCCCAGATTAACCGTGAACAGCACTAATTAACCCTCAAATTTTCCTTAAGTCATTGAATTGGATAGAATACGCATCAGCAACTAAATTATTCTTCAATAGTTCTCTACATGAAAAGCATAATAGAGATACAATCAAAGATCATTAAGCTTTGTGAAAATCATAAGCATTGACAAGGCATTCGTAACTATGAAAAGCATGATACTCTTGCCAGGAATGTACTTAACACAATTGTGACTAGCAACCTCCACTACTTATGAATATAAGTTCATAACGATTAGGTGAAACTCCCTTATATTCTAGCATCAAATTCATGCAAGCAAACTAAGCAGGCCTACGCACAAGAATAAGTTCTTAATCAAACAGTTAAGTAAATTGTATTCACAATTTATGAAATCACAACTGAAAGTAATCAATTCATATTGCAAATATAATCATGGTTTCAAAGTCTCCTCTATCTAAAACAAGTTTAGCTCTTTATGTTCGCAAAACAAAGATAATTAAACTTAAACATTAAAAACAAAGATAGAATACACCTAGAAACACTCCAGGTGGCTCCTCTTTCCTTCCTTGCTGCGCACAATGGGGATTTGTGTGAATTTAGGCTCTTAAGGTGTGGTGGATGGTGTGGTGTGAAATTGTGGTAAAGGGTGGTGGTTTATGAGTTTTGCGGCATCATGTATTTATAGGGTGAAGGGAAGGCATGAAATTGGGCTAAAAAGGAGAGGAATTAGGACTCCAAATCACCAAAGAACAAGGACACTTTCAATCAGATTCCAAGGAGGACAAGGAATGGTCATTGTGGCAAATTCTAGAACTTCTAGAAGAGTTACATGTAGCATAAACTTAGGGCACGAAATAGGGCTTCTAGAACATGATATTTAGGTGATTTAATGTGAAAAAGGAGTCCTCTTTGCAGCTAGAATTAAGGTAGGAAAAGATTAGGTTATGATAACATAAGATAAGTGATGCGAGAATTATACGCACACAAATTAAACCCTCTTTTTGACAATTGTAGTATAAGTATAAGTAGGGATCATTCTGGACCGGGGATTAGGAGGGATTGTTAATCACTTGGATTTGACTTCAAAAATGTAAAAACAAGTTTAAAACACTATACTAAACTCGAAGAATGCAAAACTAAAAATAAGAAAGATTAAGACTAAGACTTCAACGAAATAGGGGGGAATTGGATTTGGACGAATTTAAACTAAAATGGATAGAATGTAAAGAAAACAAATTGTAAATATGAATTTGACGGAAATGAATGGATGGGAAGCTAGCTAAGGGGTTCATCTCCACACATGTTATACTTGCATACAAAATGATTTCTAATTGCTTTTCAATAAACCATGAATTCTCAACGCCCCGGGTTAATTAGGTCCGCTTAAATTAACCGTCAAGTTTTCCTTAAGTTAATGAATTGGATGATTGCATACGACAACCCAAAGCATTCCTCACAAGTTCCCTACATGAATTGCATAATAGAGATACAAGCAAGAATCATTAAGCAACATGAAAACTATAAGTGTTGACGAGGCATTCGTTACTATGATTGCATGAAACTTATGCCAAGAATTTGTTTAACGCGATAGTTTATAAGCAACCTCCACTACTTGTGAATATAAGTTCATAACTATTACGTGAAACTCACTTATATTCTAGCGTCATATTCATGCATGAAAATTAAGCGTGAACTCTTAATAAACATACATAAATAGGTTATCAATCAAATAGTTAAACAAATTGAATTCACAACTTATGAAACGCAATTAGAAGTAATCAAATCATATTGCAAGCATAAACATATATTTCGAATCACCCCCTAGCTAAGGGGGGTTTAGTTTCTCATACGTACAAGACAAAGAGAATTGAAATTAAACATTGGAATCGAGGAAAAGCAACACCTAAAAATTCCAACAACTCAAACTTGAATTGTATGAACGTTTAGGCACTCTTCTCCTCCTCTTCGTTGTAGCATAAGGTCTAAGGGACGTTATTGGTTTGGTGTTTGTATGGAGGAATGATTGGGAAGTGTTTTGGAAGGATGGGGAGTGATGGAAATGAAGAAAATGATGCTGGAAATGAGAAGAAGGCCACGGCAAAGAGAAGGGAGAATGTGTTTGTGTTGTGTTGTGTATGAAGGTGAGGAATGAATTAAATGAGGTGTTTATTTATAGGTAAATAAGAGGGAACATGACAGCTAGGAGGTGGGTGGAAATGTGGCTGCAAGGTGAGTGAATGATTATGAGTGAATGCATGTGGATGTGGCTAGGTTGGAAAGCTGGAATTGTGAGTGAAGGCCACGGCAAAGGGTTGTGAATGCATGTGAGTGGCTGATTTGTATTGCAATGATGAAGAGTTGCATGTGGGTTAGGTGGAATGTAGGGGGAATAATGATGAAGCAAAGCTGGAAATGGGAGTCAAAGCCACGGCAAGGGGATTTTTGGTGGTGTAAATGCATGTGTTTGTGGAGATGTAAAGCAAATGATGTGCTGGAAATGCAAGGTGGAAAGCTGGAAGTGTGAGTGAAGGCCACGGCAAGGGTGTTTTCTTGATGGTTTTGGGGTTGTG